CTTGGAGAACCGGGCCAACAGGAGGTGCTGCAAGACAGGGAAAATCTCCTCCTCTGGCACAGCGTCATCTTCCACTATGAGGACGTATTCGGGGTTGTATGCCAACAGTGACTGCTCGAGGCAGAAGACATAGTCCTGCTTCTCCTTCTCAAACTGGTTCACTCCGGGGTCAGGATCCTCACCAGCTTTGTCACGACTCACCACACGAAAGAAGCTGCTTAGCAGCCTGACATCCTGATGGCTGCTGGGGTCTGACTCCACATTACAGAGGAGGATGCGGTGGCTCCTGCAACGGGCACCACATTTCTGCAGGAGGCTGTGGAAGCGGGAGGCCACTTGCAAGACGTAGTGGAAATCATTCCGCCTCTGCACAGTGATAATGGTGACCAGCAGCAACGGCTGGAAAGCGTCACTGCCAGCGGGCTTGGAGGCATTTGGTATTTGCAGCTTCTCAAAGTAATGCAGGGCAGCCTGGCCCTCCTGCTGGTTCTGCTCCAGGAACTGCTGGCTCATGGGGTTCAGGTGCCAGCGCCGCAGATAGAAGTAAGAGTGGAGGAGCCGGTGGCAAATCAAAGGTGCGAGCACACCGAATGTCACCACAGCCAGCGTGAGGAGGTGGATAAAAGGACTGGACCAACGGCACCACCTCCCATAGAGCTGCCAGGCTTGGTGTAACATGGCTGCAGGAGGAGGGCACTCCTGCCCTACTCATGCCCTCACTCCTTCACTTCCAATGCATCCTCCTTGGATTGCAAGGTGTCACTGTGGCAGTGGCTGCCAAACCTGCACAGTTAGTCCAGGCCTAGAGAGAAAGAAAAGAAATTGGTTAAACAGGAACTGTCAGTGTGGGAAGACTGTGATTTGAGAAAATGGAAAGCTGAGGGCTTGTCACTGACTAAGCCAAATTAAAAGGCCCCTGAGGAGTCTCCTGTGGTGGGAACATCACAGAATTGTCATTGGAGGTTGAGGAAAGATAAGGCAAACTTTGCATCCAGCAAAGTCCCTCTAAAGCCTTTTCAGTATATAGGAGCTCTGATCTGACTTAGCTGGACAGGACTTTGTTCTGTTTGTTACTATGCTTCAAACACATAACAAACAGACAACATGGATGCAGAAAGTGTGGAAATCCATTTCCATTAAAGGGAGAGAACTCAGACAGTACTGTATGGTCACAGCCAAGAACCAAAACCAGATCTTGTGTATCTTAGCTTAGCACACGTCTGAGAGACAAAATTTTACCTCTGTGCAATGACACGTTCCTCTTCTGCTGCTCACTCACTTCTAAATGCATGCCTCTTCATTTTACTCCCCAGAGTGTGAAGCAAGATAACAAAGACACCAACCTACTTGACTAAGGACATGTGTACGCTAGGTGTAATACCTGTGTGTGTTCCTCTCAGATGTCTCCTCCTCTCTAGACCCTTTAAGGTCATGACAAGAGTAACAAGTTGCAGCTGAGCCACTGACTCATGTTTGTTATTTAGAAGTTTGTAATTTCAAATTATATGCCTTTAATTTAAAAATGAAACATACATATATATATATATATATAAAGAAATACACACACACATACACACTTTAAGCAAATTACCACCTTCACAAAAATTAGGTTTTGCCATATTTGGCTTCTCTGTTCTGCTTCTCTTGGCAGCCATGAACACCTAACAGCCTGGCCATCAGAAGCTTAAGCAGAATCAGGGCATTCAAGTTGGTCGGATGAATTCTCTTGTGCCAGTAATTTCCTTTTTTAATCTGTTGTTTGACTCTCTTACTTTCCAGTCCCTTTCCTCATGAACTGAGCTATTCATGCCCCCCACAGCTGAGTGTGCACAATTCCATGGAGAGATTCTCCCTTTTTTAATCTTCTGCTGCAGAAGATGTGCTTCTTAGACCAAAGTATTACCATTTTGCCTTCTGTGCTCTGTCATCTGAAGCAGCCTAAGCAATGTTGCTTGGATGGAAAGAAATCAGGACTGTGGCTTTTCTTCTCTGTCTCAGAAGAAAGGACCATGTAGAAGAAATGACACAGAGGACACTGATGCCATCAGTGTTGTGCTACCATATGGTTCACAAAAACACGTGACTTCAAAGATTTACTGTAATTACAGATAACAGATTTACACATTGATGCACAAGAATCTGCAGTGTCTTCTCATATAGCTCATTTTGGTTTTTTCTTTCTGACTACACAAACCTGTTTCACAGACAGTCCACGTATTGCCTCAGTGGACTTTATAAGGTCCCTAAAGGTGACGGCTGCTTTTCAGCAGCCACGATGATTCAGGATATGAAGACTTGAAATCCATCCAGTACAAATCCCTGGCACTTAAATGCATTTATTCTCCCCAAATCCAGGGCTTCCCCTTTTCTCCTTTTCTACTAAACAGTCACAAACGTTAAGGGAACACAAAAATGCAGAGTCACATTCTGCAGCTCACAGTGACATACTCCTGAGCCTCCTCTTGATGGGAGCAGCATTGTTGGCACTGTTACTGAACCAGCCTCCAAACTAAAAGGTGAGGACCACAGTGGGAAAACGAGATGAAGAAAAGATAGAAGGCAGTCCAGCTCTTAGGGGGTAAAGAAACTTTCCATCTGCCAGCTATGCTGGAGATCTGAGCTACAAAAATGATGAGCCTGCAGTGAGCTGTGTAGCTCTCAGGATATACACTGATAGTATCCTGATAGGATATGCACAAATGGTGTCCACTCAAGCAAGAGGCTTCCTCCCTCAGACCATCTGCTGAGAAGGGGGATATGGGTGTCACGCTTCCCCCGCAGCAGCAGCCACAGCTGAGCCGTGGGGGCTTCAGCCCCACGAGATGAGTCAAAGCGAAGCTTGCCCACGGTCTTGCTTTCCTGAAGCCCGTGCTATGGAAGGGTCCGGCTCGCCTGCACCATGAGGAGGTGCTTCCCCGTCCCTTTGAGTCCTGCGGGCCAGCGCTGGTCCGGCCGCGCCTGCTGGGAAAGCTGTGCGGGGACTCCACCTGCCGGTGTCCCCGCTCCTGCTGGAGCCGGCGAGGAGCTGCACCAGGGCACCACCCGCAGGAGGGGGCTCCGCGCTCCACACGAGGAAGTGGCTAGCCCCAAAAGCCACACAGGACTGCAAGCCAGCCACGCAGGTCACAGCCTCCTATTCCCAAGCGTTTCTGACTTACTCTGCTTTCACCTTCATCCGTGGCACAACTCAAGAGCTTAACAACTCTTGTTCTGGTTTTGCAGCTCTGAACACCTCAAGGAGAACAACCATCAAACTGTCACTTCTCTCCAAATCTTCCTCTGCTGCCTGGACTGTTGGCACTCACGCTGGCTGCCACACTCTTTATCAGTTGGTTTGCAGAGGAGAATGCTGCTTTCACTGGGTAGTGGAATAACCACGGAGGCTAAATATATGTTACATGTGGCTATATATTCCTATGGTTAGGAACTATCAAAGTGGATGAATTATGCTAGTTCATGCCAAGCTGAATGATCTAGAAAAGAGGGGAGAAACTGAGCTTCTCTCCCATTTTTGGCTGTAACACTGTGAGCCTGAAATTCTAAATCTGGATGGAAAACTCTTACTTCTACAGATGTGAAGTTTGATCTTATCTAAAGGATTTGAATCCAGAGTTTCTGGTCAGGCTGTTTTCTAGCCATTAGGATGGTTCTGACCTTACAGAAGCTGTTCTGTTTTCTGAACCTGCTGGTACTGTCACTTTCACCTTTTTTCCCCTTTGTGAGAGAAACAAAATTTGTTTGTTCTTGTTTTAATTATTTAAGTGGCATTTCTGACAGAAAAATGGAGTTTGAGGAGAAAAAAGTGAAGTTTGAGGAGAAAATCAAGAGTAAGAACTGGACTTCACCGTGCTTTATAAAAACCCTGTATGAATCTTGACTAGTGACCACTTTGCAACCCTGGAAATACTTGCAGCAGATGCCACTTTCATATATGTTCTGTGTAGAACTGAGCCATTGCTGAAACATGTTTAGAAGCTGTAATGATATAAAGCTATATGCTTGGTTTGTTTCTTTTCTTTTCTTTGATCCTCATGATGAAGATTTTTCCAGAAACACCTCATTCACCTGGTTCCAAATCTATGTCCCCATCTTCATTAGCCCTGCACTTGGTTCTATTATACTGTTCAGGAAGATGTTACCTCTGCACACTCTGAGGAAGAGTAGAAAAATAATAAAGTCCTCTTTGGGGTGCAGAATACTGTTTGCTGTGCCAGTGCGTTGAAGAGAAAGCTGTCTGCTCCAAACTCCTCGCCACAGAGCTATTCTTGCAGGCAAGCACTGCTGGAACAAAGCTTTCTATGTGTTTCAAAGCTACAAAATTTTAGGGGGGGGTCCTGGATAGCTAATATATGAGAGGGAATCTGTCTTCTACTTCCCAGTCTTATTCTTTTATGACTACAATATTAAATTATTCCTTTTTGCCACTTCTTTTCAGTATCAATGTGAAAAGCTGTTCCTTTCCCAACACAAAAACAGCTGGATAAAGCCATGTGGTCAGAAGCCATAGAGTCATCTCTGTGGAAAGCAAAGGTGGGCTCTGGGAAAACGCCATGGCAAGGCCAGCTGTCACAGCCCCCACATCAGCCGTTATGGTGGTAGTCGCTAACGGGGATCACACGAGCTGTAGCTTTGACCTGTGTGTTGATCCTGTAGTGGCATCCCAAGTTGAAAACTTTGTGCAAAAAACACTTACACTCCAACCTAACATTTCACAGGCAAGCTGCAACCTCAGGACCAATCTCCTCTACTAATTAACCCTCTCTGGTAGAGACAAGAGCTTTGGCTTGGCTATGGTATTGTTAGTGCACCAACAAACAGTCCTGCTGGAACGTGCGGAAACCGATGCAAGCTTCACAAAGTCAGAGAGTCATGTAGACCTCCTTCTGCTGCCTATGTGCATGCTGACAGACAACTGTTGTGCACAGATACCCTCAGCTTCCAAAACCTAAGGTCCCTACCATGAGCTGATCCCTATTATTGGACCAGATGGCCAGCTTTTCTCATCTGCTATTCCTCATGTTTTCTGACAGCTTTTAGTAGGTCAGGTGCCAGATAATATTTCTGTAACATGTTCAGGCTCGCCTTGAAAACAGCAGTGCCTGGTAGAAGCTAAGCATCCACAACTGGGAGTTGGGCTCCCTAGAAAATACAAACCATCCTGGCAAAGCTGTGCTTTTCAAAACATTCAGCAGAATCTTAATAGTAAGAGCTCCAGCAGTTGTTTTTTGATTGCATTTTCCTTTACCACATACATCGCTCACACCTTCTGCTTCAAGCTCTGCTTCATGCAGTTTTCGTGATGTTTCTAGACAATGAATGTCAAATAAGCCAGGCTGTTTTGTTTAACTTTCATCTAAAGTGCTTCCTGTAAAGGCAAAGACCAGAGCTGCAGGTGATGCACTTGATCTCTCAGTTCTCTTAGAGCTTTACTTTTTGTTTCTTATGGTCTGTGTACTGAAGGCATAACACTGCCACACTCGAACGGGCTAACAGTAGCTTGAAGCGTAAGAGAGGTGGCTAGGGAGGTGGAGAAGGTTTGGACTTGGCCCTTCGCAGGACTTACGTGGTGTAAGAGAAATCAATGGCATGCCCCTCCACGCTGATGTCCCATTCCTCAGAGCCTGTCAATGAACACAGAAACTTTTACTGTCCAAAGAGATGGAATTTAAGCACTATTA